GAGAGAGTCAAGCAGGATCCAGAAAATGCCATCATTTGTCAAACTACTGTAGAACATTTTATCATTCAAGAAAACTTCAATTAACAACTTTGATGACCTGTAAAAAATTAAGAGGTATTTTTATTGGCCAGGTCTGACTGTTCCCAGCTCTGTTGCTTCTACTCTGGTGACTTCTTTAAAACAACTTATTTTGAAATGTACTTTCCTATTGGAACAGGTTGGACTGGGCACAAGTATAAATGGTGGTTCCACTGTTACCTCCCAAACACCAGGGACACCAGAATCAGGTAACGTATTTTACAAAGTGGACAACTTAAATGTCTGTCAGATTGTACTTTCATACTGGTTGCTTATTGGTTGGTCTAATGTGAGTGATTTATATACATGAACCCCCATGTGGTGCTCTCTGACATTTGTTAAGTCTTTAAAGCACAACTTCAACATATTTTATGTTGACATGCAAGTCTCGTCAAAATCAGACAAATTCACTCCTCTGAGGCTCTAAGACATTTGTTGTTCCATGTTTTGTTCAAGAAAAGTATAGACAGTACAGTCTTAATGTTATTTACTAGGCCTTAAAGAAACAGTTATAATATGAGCTCTATGCAGCATCTGGTGGAGAAAGAAGAGTAGACCATGTTTAGTAAATCAAAATGTTAAGATGAGATTTAATATAAATTCTCCTGACTGATGTTTCGAGCTTGGACCAAGTCAAAATGGTTTCAACTTTGGGTGAATCTAACATTTTCCCCCCAGATGGCTTTAAAAAACATCTGTGTATACAGAACATTAGAGAAGAGAAGAAATTCCCGCTCGCTCAAATGCCTCCAAAAGATTTAATTGAAACACAAGGTTTTTGACCATAGTTCTTCTTCAGGTGTTCACTTTGGTGTAAAGAATGTTAACATGTCTCTAATCCAGTAGTAGTACGGCTGGTTGTAGGTCTTGTTGTGGCTGTTTGTGCTAAACACCAGTGTTGTTGTTGTGGAGACGGCTGTGTTAGGGCGCACTCACACTCGGCAATCCGTACCGTGCTCAGGCCCGGTTAGTCCTGGAGCAGCGTGAGTGCAGGCCAGTGGAGGAATGGGGAGGGGGTGCTATCGTGCTTAAGCACGGTAAGGGACAACTTTGCCTAGTGTGAGCGTGCCCCTAGTCTTCAGTCGTTTAATGTAACCTGTGTAAGGTGACACTTTTTAACTGCCTCTTCTCTTAATGCAGAGAAGATCATGTGGGTGATCGCAGCAGCTGTGACGGGGGGTGTCCTCCTGCTGGGATTGGCCCTTCTCTTTGCTCAGAGCAGAATTGGTAAAATGACAAATCATTAATATCTCAAATGTTAAAAAAACTGGGAACTATTTACACCCATTTGTAGTTGAAGAAAATATTTCATATGAAACAACTTTTGATTCTCTTAAAGGAAGCTGGCGGTAGTTAACATGTGGTATTCCTGTTAAGAGGGTTTTGTGGAAGCTTGCTGATATCAATAACGAGTTCTTTTTTTTTTTTTTTAGATAAATGTGATTCCAAAAGGTAAGACAACTTATTTCACATATATATTTGGTCAACATGTAGAAGAAGAACTTCAGATACAAACATGTGAAAACAATAAGTTGGTCAACAAGTTGTAAAAAGATAAATCAAAGGCATCAGGAAAAGATTGAGTCGGTGGAGAAAGCTGAATCAGCAAATATTTAGATAAAAGTGAGTCAGCAGAGTAATAGTGACAACTTTTTAGTTTAGAACACCATCCAATAATTAACCATGCTGAATCTGATAAAAAGTCATCGTACCTTGTTTATATTAGCTTTGGTTATATATAAACCTAATGTTTGTAAAAACATATTTATATTAATTGTGGTTTTTTTCTTACTTATTATAATTTGTGTCATAAACTACTTTAATCTGCTCATCTTACTTCCCTTCCGTTCTCTTATCTACGCACACACACACACACACACAAACACATAAATACACACACACACACACACACACACACACACACACACACACACACACACACACATTAAAAGTACGCTAAAGATGCTCAAATAAGATGACCTGCATTTCAAATGTTTCACTCGATATTCTGTAATCACATCAGGTGATCTTCGTGTGTGGAGGCTTATTGATGATGATGCGTATCACAACAATCATCATAAACTATGAGTGCAGGACAGCAGCTGCAGTAAAATATTAAAAGAAGGAATCGGTGCATTTACAGCGGGGATGTACCAGCTGATTTCTCTCTCACTCTCTAGAGTTTCCTCTATGTGGGAAACACTGTGATGATGAGACTTAATCATTTCTGCTGACAATGTTTCCCTTTGTAAATCATTTTGGGGATTTTTGCCGCAGGTTGAGAGCGTCACAGTGTTAGTGTTTAGGTCATATCGTTGCTCTGCACACTATAGGATCAAAACTGTTCATTATGTGATTGTTGTTGTCTCAAATATCTGTTATGATGTTGAAAACCTAAGTGTGGATCAGACTTAACACAATACATTGAGAAATGTGTTTGGTGCTGTTGCTTCCTCTTCAGTAAGGATATTTTTTAACCAAACCTATTATGTCTTTTTTTTTCATTCAGAACAAAAGCAAACATCGCAGGTAAATCCAAAGGTATGTTGCTCACTCCTGTATTGAAGAGACCAAGCCAAATACAATAGAATATGTTGGTTTAACATTTAATTACATGTCTGTGTATACACTTCACTGCATTAAAATGCTAATTGTCTTTGTTTTAGATGATCAGAAATATATGGTAAGTCTCACCAATGATTGTAAATGTCAAACCTGCTTCAACTGTAACATTTTCCAGCACACAGTAATTCTCACAACAACAAAAACATCATCAAGGTTCAGTCCCTGTACCCGTTTAATTAACAATTATATTACAGGTCACATATTATACTCCTTTTCAAAAAGTTAAAATAAATCTCAGAGCTCCCCAAACATATCTGTGAAGTTTCTTTGTGATGTCATGAAGAGAAAATCTCCAAACAGCCTGTTTGAGCACACATTGTCTGAAAGGTGGAGCAGGCTAAAGACAGAGAGGATGGACTTTTCTCATTATTTGTTGTCTTGTTTTGAGCTTCTGATACCCTTTCATTCAAACTATTGATCTGTTGTAAACATCATGAATCAATATAAAAACATTTTTTTAACCCCAGAGACATGCTGTTATGAAATCTGAGATAACTTTCATTTGAAAAAAAAGAGACTATTTTCCTTTATTCATAACACAATAGATTTTGAAGCAGTTTATCCCTGTGTGACAGATTATTGGGATGAAATCTATGAAAGTTTAGTCGACTCACCTCTAAATCTTCCAGATGCAGTTTATTGTAAATCGAAAAATAGACTTGAGCTTGTATAGCATCCTTCTCGTCTTCTAACTTCTCAAAGCACTTTTACACCTACACATTCACACACTGATAACAGAGGCAGTAACTTATCCCATTCATACACCGCTGGTGAAGCAGTGGGAGCAATTTGGGCTTAAGTGTCTTGCCAAGGACCCATCGAACATGTAGATGCAGGGGCTGGGGATTGAACCCCCAACCTTCTGGTTGAGAGATGACCAACTCTTGCACTGAGCCACTTCACAATAAGATTTATTGACAGAGATAGTGATGGGACACATAATTGTTTACTGATCATAATCTGGCCTGCTTCCTACGTCAAGGTGGGGAGGCTGCTGGTCCCCCTTCATTAATAGGACAGCTAAAGGCAGACTGTGATTGTTGGTAGGAGAGGGTGGGTGATACTGAGAGTCTGAATAAATGATGGTGATTTTGAAACTATGATGATGATCATTAAGATGATTTGGACATATTGTATGTTTATACTTTATTTTTTATTTTTAGGGTGGTTATGATGAAACGTACAGTATCGTCTTCTATGAATGCAACATTGGTGAGTTGAGAAACATCATAACTTGATATGAAAAAACACAAAATGCTGGCAGGTATTCAGACCTCAATGAGGGCGACTAAGCAGTGTGTGCTTCTTATTTCTCTCAGAGTGAAAACTGCAGCACCTCAGAGATGAAGGCTACATCAGCTCAGAGAGATACAGAGTGTTCAAAGCTCTCTGACATTAGCTCAGAGGAAAATGTTGTTTCCTGTATCATTATCACATTTACTTCTCATGTACAGCTTCATTGCTTAAATGAATAACATCTTTATCAAAGTAGACATTAGCACGGTGAACTGGTCTACTGCATTGATAGAAACAAAGAAATCAGAAACTGAATAAAGTTAGAAGATAACATCTCCTGTATCACAATGTTTGAAATAATAAATATATCCTACATAACAACAAACTATGTTTCTGCTCTTCATGTTAACTTCAGCTTGATATTTGTTTTTAAAGTGTTAAAGACTGAAAGGGATGGGAAAAAATACAAACACACTACAATACAATACAAAGAGGAGAACGAGGAAACCACCATAGAGACAGAAATCTATCACAACTATATGTTCAAAGACCAAGCCAAGAAAAATCTGAATTTAGAATGAGTATTGTAATGAGCATGGCAGAGATAAAAGTAATGAGTGAAGTTGGATTAAGGAATGATTATGAGGGTCGATCGATGAGGGGATGAATGTAAGGGTTGTTTTCAAAGCACTTATGATCCACCAATGTAGCATACTACTAAATAAAAAACTTTAGACATTTTTTATTATTATTTATACATTTGAAGAAGTCACAGAAGTGTCCACTAGAGTGGACATCATGCTAAAATTACTATTATTTATTTTTTTATGAATGGAAAAAACAAATAGTTTTTGTTTCTTTATAAAACACATTTTCTGTTTGTCACATGCAAATGGTAAATGGACTTGGGCTTGTATAGTGCTTTTTTAGTCTTCTAACTACTCAAAGAGCTTTTACACTGCAGGTCACACCTACACATCCAAACACTGATGGAAGAGGCTGCTATGTTACGTGTCTATCAGAAGTAATCCCATTCATACACATTCATGTGCCAACAAATGAAGCAGTTGGGAGCAATTTGGGGTTAAGTGTCTTGCCCAGAGACACATCGGGCATGTGACTGCAGGAGCTGGGGATAGAAGCCCCGACCTTCCTGTTGAGAAACAACCAACTCTATTTCTGAGCCATAGCCATCCACTGTGTCCATATGTCCAATGGGCTGGATTTAGTCCTTTTGAGTTTCTTGAATTTGAATTTTGAAGGTTTTCTGTCTTTCATTTTTGAAGTTGTTTCTGCTATAAAAGGAAAAAAGGAAAAAGCTTGATTGGTTTAAAATGCCTCCACAGGTTTTTCCTGGTTGCTGCCAGAACAGCACAACAGCAGACATTTAAGGGTTAATGGGAGAGCAAACATTGTGGGAGAGCTGGGGTTTGAATTCAGACTTAAGCTCTTGCTGAATTAACACCTTCAATGAAACTTACAGTATGTAATAACTCACAGAAAAAATAATGGATGTAAAAAACAAATCTCTCAAAAGTCATAGTTTAAAAATATAAATCTATTAATTTCAAAAAAGTTTGAATCCCCATCAAATATTGTGAAGATCAGCAAAGTCTCTCCAAACCTAAAATCAATATCTAGAATTTCAACAATAATATCGTTCCTTAGTTTTTACTTGATGTTGAAATGACTTGTTGATGCTACATTATGCCTCTGATTGATTGATGATTTGATTGTACTGTATGATCAAGCGGCTGGCCTGCATTGTCCATGAGTAGACAAACTCATTGGCATGTCCTTATTTATGAGGCTATACTTAAAGGGACACTTCACCTGTTGAAACATGAATCTGTATTGACATTGGGTCATATGTAGAAATGTGAAATACATTTTGAAGTTGGTGCCTTCTTGGCCGTGAAAAGGCAGAAAGTGTCGTTTTGGCTCATGTTGATGAAAGACACCAAATCCCAGAATGCACCGCAGGCCACTCCCACTAAGGTCCTCTAATTCAGAATCAGAAATACTTTATTAATCCCAAAGGGAAATTCGATCGTTACAGTTTCTCCAAAATATACAGTATAGCAGTAAAAATATAGTAATAAAAACATTTACAGACATATTTACTTCAACACATAAGACCATTTCCTTAACTGATTCAGAGATTTCTTCCAGAACTGATCTTTGTAATTAATGGCAGAAAACAGACTCTATGTCTGTGTCCATAGTCAAACAATGAGAGCATCGACACTACCAGTTCACCCCAACTCCTCACCGCCGCCGACAGGCAGGCATCATGTCTCTGCTGCTGAGCTGGCGGTGGCCGGCGGCGGCAATATAACAATATAAAGACGGTTGCTGCCGACAGGCCGGTCTTATGTCGCAGCTGGGCTCCCGGGGGCTCGCGGGGGCAGAGCTCGCAGCGGCCGGGCTCATGGCAGCCAAAACACAAAACCGGCCTGTCGGCAGCAACCGTCTCGCCGCTATATTTATGTTTTTTCGCCATTATCAGCTTTCTCCATAGAGCCTGTTAGCACAGCTTCCAAGCAATATGGCGGACGTTAAGTTTAGATTCTTGGAGCGAGTTCCCACCCACTGATCTGTGATTGGTCTGTAGCTTCAGTGGTCGAAAATATGAGGAACTAGCATTGTAGTTTCACCCCGCTAACCACAACAGCTTCCAGTGACGCAAAAATCGTCATTTTGCGTCACTGGAAGCTCCTTTTCAGACTTAGAAATACAAAGATTTCCCATCTCAGGGGAAAATGAGGGTGGGATGCACGACCATTCAAAAATACTACCAGGTTTCTAATGATACAAAACTTAATGCAAATGGGTGAAGTATCCCTTTAACCTGCTTCCCTCACACTTGTGTAATTGTATTCATGCGAAAAGGACTGGAAGCTAGGTCTTTGCTCTACGAGCCAGTCACAAAACGTATTGTTATCTGTCCCCAAACTGTGTCTTGAAACAGGGAAAAGGAGTCTCAGGTACGCTGCTCCTGCTGGCTGGAATCTCCTTCAGGATGATCTTTGTTTTGGGGAGCTGGTGTCTCTTTTTATCATTTTTAAAGTATATTGAAGGTGTTGGAGGAAAATGCGAGATGCTTTAAATAATGACTTTTCTTCTCTGTGACTCAGGACATGTTGATCTGTGTTTGTAATTACTCTGTGTTTTATGTCTGTAACATGCTTGTTGTGCTGCTGCCCCTCTTGGTCAGGACACTCTTGTAAATGAGATTCTTAATATCAATGATGTTTCTCCTGGTTAAACATTTTCATAAAAAAAGGGTTGTCTGGAATAACAGGATTGGAAAGACATTCCTGAGCCTCGTGGGAATGACTTTGTGAAGGCAATCTTGATTTTGAAGACACGTTTGTTATATTTACTACATCTGACCAGTGGGTGGCAGTGTATGGCTTGATAATTTCCACTACAGAGTCTGATGTGAAACCACCATGCATTTAGCAGGAAACAGCTTTTTGAACAGCTGTTCACTGCAACCTCCAGAATTAAATAAATGAAAACAAACTACAATATTAAACACATTATAATACAAGAGACACAAATCTATCACAACTGTATATAAAATATTGTTCATACAATGACTAAAAACTTGAGATCAGTCACTTTGAACAACCAGAAGAAACATAAAGCTCGAGGAGGCAAATGTGTGAATAAACTGTTTTAATGATGAAGAAAAAATGAAACAAACTTTGTCTTTAGTGAGAGCAGACTATGAACAAGCTCAGTGTGTTAGTGAAGTGTACTGTAGGCATATGTTTCACCTACATACACTATGTCATCTTTCTACAGATGTTAGTTTCCAATGTGGGATATTCAATTTTTAAAAATGGTTCTTTAAATATTAAGCTGTGGTTTGTCTGTCAGTGGGTTTCATTTCTGGTAATAGCTGTCGTTCTCATGTATCTAATTTAAGAACCTGGTCTCATTAACCACAAAGTCCACACAGTGAGACACACACGTATCCTCTGTACAGTCTCAGTGTTCAGCTTCATCATGGCCGGACGTCTGCTGTTTGTCTTCTTCATGTGTAAGTAAAACCTTTATTGATTTATTCAGTATTATTGTGGACTATTATAAAGCTCTGCAGATTGAAACATGACGTTAATGTGTCATGTCAGATATCATCATATCAGTGATTAAGCTTTGAGTCTGTGATATTGTGTTTTGTGTTCTGCCAGTTGTGACAAATAAAATCTATTTTTGTCTCACTTAATAATTCTACTTTTGATGAAAATAAATGAATAGTTGGAGGAGTTGAAATGTGTGAACTCTTGGAGTTATTATTATGTGTAGTCACCTTACTTTCACTGTGTTTTTTAAACAGATGTCTTTAATGGGATTCAAACAGAAGGTCAGTCTGTGATCTCTCATGGTTCATGTCTAACTGTGCTGTGATCGCTGCACTACTGAAGAATTTAAACATTTATATACAGCTTATGTTTGAGTTTGATAAAACATATTCATGGTTTATATTTTCAGCTCGTCTTCCACCTAAACTTACAGTGAATTCAGCGGTGATCAAAGAGACAGACTCAGTCACACTGAACTGTCAGACTCCATCATATGTGTCTCAGTGTTATTACCAAACTTTAAGTGGAGAAACTGTGAGGACATTTTCCTGTCTGCAGACACTGACAGGAAGTGAACTGCTGAAGATGGATCATCAGAGTTCATCTGCTGAGGTCAAAGTGGAATGTTTTTACACTGTTCAGATTGGAGACAAACATTTTCCATCTCCACACAGTGACACAGTCTCCATCAGCATACAAAGTGAGTAATACAAGTGTTGTCAATATTCATATATTTTGTTACATAATCAGAAAGAAACAAACTGGTTCAAGCAGTCTGATTTAAAGAGTTGGAATATTGTCAAAAGGCATCCTCTACCAGTATACATTTGTCAAGTGATTTATTTGAATGAAAATGCTTTTGCAGATTTGAGATGTATTTGAGCTACATTTGCTTTGTGTGTTTTAATAATTATTTTGAAAGTGATTATATAAGATAATCTGTTGTTGTTTATAGTCCTAAAAACACTCAAACAAACATACTAATGGGAGCACTGGTGGAACATGTATTATACTGTGATCCAGCGGTGATCACAGAGACAGACTCAGTCACACTGAACTGTCAGACTCCATCGTCAGTGTCTCAGTGTCAGTACTTCACTTTA